CGGACGTAGCGAAGACTGCTACGTTTCCCTACAACAGTTTACCACATATATTAAAATGTTTTATCATTAATTTTGGGATACGTATAGCTCGTAGATCTGATAACCGTATGGAAGATGGCAGTGTATGTTGAACCCTCACTATATGGAGTAACGCTCTGTGCAAATGTGTGGGAATTCAATTGATGCCAGTGGCTCGGGATGTCTGTGGGTAAGAAGACCTATCTATGTTCGGCAATGGACTCAAACAGGCTGAAATTACACCATACATTCGTATAGAAACATCGGTTAAGTATGAATGAAATAAGCTCTGTGATTTTTTTCTTGTTAACCGACAATTGCACAAATAAATTGTCGAAGTAGAGTTGAAGGATTTACTGACGGTCAATTAAGTAACGATCCGACTTGAATAAAATCTATGTATTTGTGAATACGAATTTTGACCGGAGACTGAGGTAACCGTGAGCCAACCGTTGCCATCACTTGCCATTAACCGCAAACTAATTAGTAATTTTTTCCCCCTAACAAAGAAAAAATATTTTACGAGTAACTCTATTAAATATAATGCCATGCAAACCGTAACTCGGCAGTTAAATCAATTCGCCCGAGCGTTGGCGCATTCGTCATTTTTGTCCAGTTTTATTCGCAATTTCCATATCCCGTTAACATTCATTCATATGGTGCCCTAACGAGTTTATTATTTATTGAGAGCCGTTATTGGACGAATGGTATGAACGATAAAAGGCGATTCGCTACGCATTTTCATTTGTTCTTTTGTAATTTATGACTGAAGCAATAAAGTCTATGCCGGGTTAGTGATTGTTGCCGTCTGCTGGGCTATCTCGTGACGCGCATTCGAACCCTAGCGATCTGCACAAATCTGTTTTCCTTTCTTCGGACTTCTAACGTGCAAATACCACTTTCCCACAATGCCCACGAACAATAACATGCCGAGTCCACCTGTGGTAGTTTTGAAACTAGAAATTAGAATTAGTAGATTGTCCCGTTTCTGTACCGAACGACTATTCGAAGGTTGTGGTTCCTGAACACTCATCAAACTATTAGGAATATCGCAGGAACCGCTTGCTTGTCTCCAGATGATTCTCTTCAAAAATAACGTTTTTCTTTTTTTATTTCTTATATTTTTTCGTTGCAGAAATTAGAATTAGAAGATTGTCCCGTTTCTGTACCGAACGACTATTCGAAGATTGTGGTTCCTGAACACTCATGAAATGACGCGAGAAAATCATTCTATGATAAAAGTATACTTTTTGTCTTTAAAGTCGATAGATGCGCATCGGTTGAGGATACACGACGCGCCTTTTTCACTGTTATACGGTAATAATTTTCATTATAACAACTCTTTATCCAAATTCAGCTTTGATTTGGTAGGTTGTATGGGTAAAGGTTTGAAATATTATCATATACGCCAAAGTGAAATCTCCCTGCACATGCTAAATCCCGTATCAATTCTCATGCTGCACTCGTGTTGAAAATGTTTGCAACATCTGTTGCGAACATTACCCACTCGCGTCATTTGTTTGGCTTGTTTATTTGTACGAGACGTGACTTTGCTCACGGGGATTTTTAACGAACACATTTCTACGACTGCACCGGATAGTAACTGTTTTGTCTTTATCTAATCTAATTCGTACCGATCGCAAGAAAGTCTCTTATCCATTGATTTCGTTTACTGCTACGACAAATTTTCCAAGTACATTTGTAGCTCAGAAAACATTTGTTGTAGTAGAGTCATTTCTGTCCAGTAGCTCCTGTCTTACGAATGAGTTATTTATAATTTTTCTTTATGACTCTCTAGTGAGGTAACAAGGAAGCCTACCTTCATAAAGATTTGTAGGCGAACAATGCATGCCTTCTGGTATTAGGAATATCGCAGGAACCGCTTAATTGTCTCCAGATGGTTCTCTTCAAAAATAACGGTTTTTCTTTTTTTATTACTTATATTTTTTCGTTGCTAAAACATAGATAGTCTGATTTAACGATAGTGGATCCTAAATAACGTGAGAGTTGAAAAAAAAAAAACACTGTCCAGTGCAGGCGGGCGCCCGACTGTGTAAGTTACTATTTAGATATTGTAGACGTAATAAGCACTCTTTACTTAATATAGAATATAATAATTCTATAATGGAAGAGTACTTCTGTCTCTGAAAGTATTAAGATGAAGACAAAGTAAAGAAGTTTTAAAGCGTCCCTCCTGATGATGATCTCATGGTTGCAATAACTATAAAAGAGTCCTCAGAAAGACTGCAGATATTATAGAAGTGCTTACAAAAGTTTCTCCTTAAAGAATCGACGGAGAAAACATTTTATGAAGGCTTTAGATAGCTACTTCTATCGGGACGTATTTGAAAATTTGGCATTACATCCAGCTATCAGTCTCCGAGTGATGCTTCTTAGGATTGGCCATTTTGTTACATGAGAGAGAAGAAAGATAGAACAGCAGATGTACCATTTTAGTGTTATCAATACAACAAGTTGGTTTTTCAACAAGTTCAACTTCTCTTTTTTTAAGTCAAACTTCTTTGGGCTCGACTGAGGGTTAGCTGAAGGCTTTTGAAGACGACATTGCAACGGAAACGCGTTACGGCGATGACGCGTTTATAAAGCTTCCGATATTTAAATATTTACCTTGTATGTATATATCATAAGAGTCGCGAGCAATCGGTGGATGCAAAGGGCAGTGTCGTTCGTTTTGGCGTTCTAAGGGGAGGCCCATGTTCAACAGTGGACGTCTTACGGTCGTTCTAAGGGGAGGCCCATGTTCAACAGTGGACGTCTTACGGTTGTTGATGATGTATGTAGGTATGTATGTATCTGAACAATACGTTTAAAATAAAAAAAATGTTAATTATTTATTATTTATTAATACATTAATAATAACTTAAATTATTTAATTTTTCTGTCACTAAAAAATAAGTGCGTGTTACCTGTACACGAGGTTGAAGTAAAACTAAAAAAAAAATATTTAACTAAAAAGGAAACTGTTGTGTTGTTGGCTCGTCCTCAGTAGAAAATTGCACTAAAGTAGGTACTCAAAATTTGTGATAACTCAGTGTCTGGGTCTTCGAGTACGTGTATCACATCTGTATGGCTGTACATAATGGTCATGGTACGAAAAAGTAAAGGTTTTGCCATATGTCCAATGTGTTACGACCATTACTTTTAAAATGTCCTTAGTTAAAAGCTCTAATCTATTAAGGCCAAACACATAAATGAAATCATACGTCATCTTATCAAACGGTTTCCTACTACGTAAAAAATCGTTAATTTATCGAAATATTGTAATGTATTCACAATACATATTATATTATTAAATATTTAACTCGTTACCTATTAATGAAGTTGCTGCAGTCACATGCATTTCAAGATTAATTGACATTTATTTACATTCCGAATCGTCGGTGCTAAAATTAACCAATTTATCATTAAATTGTCAATTAGTAAAATAAAATTTATGCTGTAGGATATACCTACAAACGAGATTTTAATTTTTATCAGGTAAAACAACATCTTAGAGATGTTTTTATATGTATAAAAGTGGCAAGGGAGCTGGCGGTTCACCTGATGTTAATTGATAACCGCCGCCCATTGACATCTGCCACACCCGTAGGAGTCTAGATGCGTTGCCACCTTTTGTCAGGAAGTGGTATTTCCCCGGACGAGACAGTCCATTCTTGCAACAGCTAAAACTGCTGTGTAGCCCTAACAGTTTTTTTTTACATTTTGCTTACTTTAGGATAACATTATCCTGTGTGGTACGTTTCACAAACATAAATTTCTATACTGATATAATTAAGCTGAAGAGTTGGTATGTTTGTTTGTTTGTTTGAACGTGCTAATCTTTGGAAATAGCAGTCTGATTAGAAAAAAACCTTTTTTTCATTTGGTAGCCCAATTCTCAAGGAATGTTATAGGGCATTTTTACTATATTTTTATTGTATCAATTGTAAACCTATATATATTAATATATATTTTTCATTTCATTTCATTTCATTTAACATCACGCTACGAACGACGCTTGCAAAGGGGATGCATTTCTCGCGGACGGACAACTAGTTTCAAAATAATCCTATTCGGGGGTTCACTGTTGCAACAACTAGTCGCTGTAACAACGTAATGTAACTAGTTGCTGGAATCCCAAACTTCAGTACAAACAGTAGCGTAAACACACGACTGTGATTCATTGCCGATAGACGCTTTTGAAGTGTACTTTGTGTCATGTTAACTTTGACGTCTCAAAGCGAGGCAATCTCTGATCTTAGTGGCAACCGTGTGAGACGCATCGACGCAGCACTCCCCGTGTCAGCGGCTGTAAGCTTGTCTCTAACTAAATTAGAGCGCAGTGGCGGTCGAACGATAAGCATTCAAACCTATTAACATTTTTTGATAGTTATATTTTTATAGTTCTAATCACTTAAGATTAAACGCATGGACGCAAATCCGGTAGACGTCGGTCCGATTCCCGCAGTGGCTAAAAACTTTTCGTCCTTTTTTCTACTAAACTTTGATGTTAACGATTTTTGTTCACATCCTTATGACTTATGTTTATAGCCTTTAATCCTCACACAAATTTCACGTGGACCAAATCCCATATTTCGAAACATTTATCTATAGACCGCACATATATTATTCCAGTGTGGGAATCGAACCCAAGTCCCCTGACATCGAAGCTAATAGCAACCGTGCCACCAAGTTTAAATTATCTACGCAAATTTTAGTCTATTCTACTATGTTGATGACTTGCGTGTAGCACTCGCCAAAATATTGCGGTAGTTAGAAGTCTACAAAACTGCATGTATTTCCATTTACTTTACATGTCTGAGTTACATCTTGTGAGTATACCTCGTAGATATTGCTCCCAAGCCCTCACTACGACCCACAAATAATTGTTCCCGATCCGCGTGTTTGTTTATGTGAATTATTGTGTTTGGGATAATGTAATAACTACCAATGTAATTCTTTCTTTCTGGTCGTTTTCATCATGTCTGATGATCGTGGTTGGCGGTCGTCGTTCTAGCACGAATGAGATCTCTCCATCGATTCCGGTCCATCGCGGTCCTAACCATATCGCAGAAATTCGGAGACGGTTCTGTGTCCTTGAGCTGGTCAGTCCATCGTGCTGGAGATCGGCCACGTGATCTTTTGCCTTCAGTGTTTCCAACAACGATCAACCTTTCCAAGCTTTCGTCTCCTCTTCTCATTATGTGGCCAAAGTAACTAAGGAACCGTTGCTCGCAGATTGTGGACAGTCGCGTCTTGATGTTGAGCTCCGACAGTATGGACTGATTGGTGCGTCTGGCTGTCCATGGTATTCGCAGCATAGTTGTAGTTAGTAGTTTATAAACATCATAGCACCAATGTAGTTAGTAGTTTATAAACAAACCATGAATGTATTATTACCAAAGTCAGTTGAAGTATTCAGTATTGATGGGAAGACAGCATTACAAGAATGAGGCGCCTAATTTCGGTAAAAGTGAACGCAATAATGTCACGTATGAGCGATCAAGACAATTTGTCATCGCGTACTCGGCAGGCGGCTCAACGACTCTCCATTCTAATGATTACGCTCGCCGCTGATCGATTATGGGAGCCTGGTACATGCTTATACATAAAAACTTCAGAATCTCGCGATGTAGATTAGGTGGAGTTTACTAGATACACTTTAACTTATTGTGTAACGTCTCCCTCTTTTCTTTTACATCAATTTTTTTTTGGCTTAGTTTTTATCCCTTGGACCGCTTATAATAACCGCTATTTGATTATCGGAGTTACATAGACGTATCAGCCTACAGACCTAACCTTGATTGGTATAGTTTTTTTAAATGTGAAAATGTGAAGTTGCCAAGCGAGCAGGCGGTTCACCTGATGTTAAGTGAATACCGCCGCCCATGGACATCTGCCACACCAGAGGGTTACAGATGCGTTGACAACCTTCTGAAAATTGGGCTCCGGCTACATCACTCACCAGACGAAACGCGAAAGTATTTATCATACTTAGTTATAGCAGGAAATTTGAGCAATGGCCAGTTTTGAGTCCAAATCGTTACTAGGCATAGCTAAAACAGAAATGCAACAAACATGACGTCGACTGTGTATGTATTACATTAATTTATTGTTAAGGATTACGTTCCTGTGATGATGAATAAAGTCTAAAAGATCGAATTTAATGCATGTTGTGTGATCCATAATTGATGTCTCCCTTAGGGCCCGTTGGACAATTTATTCCACGCCCAGGCATCTAGTTTCTAACGTCTATAAAAGTCTAGTGCCCTATGACTACCTGTAGATGCGATATTGAAAATAAAAGTGATTCTATCGTGATTTTCATCCTGTGAAAAACGGGATATAGTCCTTAAAATAGTTTCATTTATATTCCGAGAAATGGTTAAGTAAAGAGTTAATCTAAATTAGGGTATACAGACAATGATAAAATTATTTAAACCGATTAAATTCACACACAACAACGTTATTCTTGCTCTTTCTTATACAACAAGTACTCGCAGTGTATGTCAGCCTTTATTTGTCTCACGAGACGTTAAGTGCTAAGTTAGCGCGTGTAAGCACGGGTGATACGTCATGAGCTGTCCCGGTTATAATACATTATGGGCCCGTGTTGATTTATCCTTGCGCAAAATAATTTATTTGTATTTGATACTTGTACATCGTACTTTTCCCCCGAGTGATAATATGTTAGCATATGAGGCTTTGAAGATTTTTCTCATGTGATAAGTTTGCAACAGCGGCGATTCCTCTTAATATGTTGGCTTTGATTGGGGCTGGGTTAATTATGGGTTGAAAACCTTTAAAGCCCCGGCTACCTCACTCACCAGACGAAAAGTAGAAGTACTATACTTCCACTTCACGCCGTTCTTCTGTCAGGTAATGTTACTTACCCCAATTCATATTGCCAATTCGTGCAACAGCGAGGACAATTACGTGGCACTACCACGATTAAGATAGTTGATTCCATGTTGGCAACGTAGCAGATTTGGCTGTTATATCGCCGTAAGCTATGTTTGTAATTATGCGTTTCTTCCGGCTAATGAAGTTTATTTAACTATTTATTTATTTAGGTAAAATTAATAGACTACAGACCAGCTAAGGCAAATATAATTACGTATAGACATTGCATTCAGAAATTTGAGATCCTTTTACAAATTCTACACGAATCGCTGTAATAAAAATAAATAAGGAACTAAATATTTTTAGGAAATAATTGTACAAATGCAGCGTTAGACCAATATTATTACCGCAAGCACACTCTTAACGGTTGACAGCGTACGTGCCAACATAAATTATGTTGCTTTGTCTTCAGCGTTAAAGAATAAAGCAAAATATAAAACGTAAATGCTATTTGTCTATGACGCTTTGATGAATATAGACGGCGACTCAGAGACGTTTTATCGTGTTCACGTTACGTGTAAGTTATTACGCTACGTTGGGAAAAAAACAAATATAGCTCTTAAGCGAGAGAACGATGAAAACAAGACAACTCTCTCAACCTGTTCATTCACCAAACCGAAAGTATTGCACAGACAATCCGCGCTAAAACCCCTCCAAACGATCGAAACGTAAAGTTGTCCCGAGATACGGTCTGAAGTTTTATCACTCTGTTCGCGTATCGGTACGGTTTCATTGGTTCCGAACTCGGCGGCGATACGGTCCCCGGGACAAGTTTCCACATTTCACTGGGAAACTTTTCCCCGGGAGCACGGCGAAACCTTTAGGTGCACTGCACTGCTCTGCTCTCTCTCTCTCTCTCTCTCTCTATCTGTGTGTCTCTTTCTCTCTCTGGAATCTCCTAATTATGCTTTTTGTAAATTTAAAGCGAAGCGCTTCTGAACAGTTTTATTTAGCTAACGTCTGTTGGACTACGTTGTCGTTTGCATCGTGATTGAAGGTCTTAAATTGCGCTCCACGCGTATTCCGAGGAGACCGTCAATTTTTCACACGGCTTTGAATCGCACTTTGGCTCGTAAACTATCCTTATGCAGAAGCCATGTCGATCCATTGCTCCTTTATTGCACATAAATATATGAATGAATATGTTTGTATGTGCCGCCCTAGCGCAGTGTCCGGGCGCTCGCTTTCAATTCTGTATATTCGAGCAACAGGAGTTCAAATCCAGGCACCGATGAAAGTGTTTATTGCAATTTTAAGTGCTCACGTTTTAAGTAAAAACTTGTTATCAGGTGAGGCGGTTCGCTCGTTTAAAATCACGAACAAACTGATGTTTTTATCCGTACACAAAAGCGATGCCTGCGTACATTGTAAATGTACAATTTGACGAAAATCTTGATTTGCTTAATTCGATCACGGAAACATCCCAAAGCTTACGTTGTAGCGAAATTATTATGACCCTGGAAAAGTAACGGATAGATATGACGCTAATCGGATTTATGCGTTCCGAACGAGCAATGGGGGAGGAATAACGGCTTGCTCCGGCTGAGAAATTAATCTTGCTTCCGAAGTAAAAGTGTGAGCGGTGTACAACGATCGCTTGGCGGGAAAACGTTACGACTTCTTTTTACACAACGTTCTCTAGTCCCAAATTAAGCAAAGTACTATGGGTACTGTGGGTACTAGATAACTGATAAACATACTTAAACATAGTTTTCTTTTGTAAATAAATGCATATTATGCATATATAAACAACCAGACACTAGAAAAACACTATGTCCATCACACAATATTTTTCCAGTTGTGAGGATCGAACCAACACCCTCTGGCGCAGGAGGCAGGTAAACTACCCACTACGCTGTTCGGGTCGTCAAACGTTGGACTTCGAGAGACCGCCGCGGTACGAAACGAAACCCGATTGTTTTCGTAATTGTTTTTAGTTTGGTTGCACAATACAATCAATTATTTGAGTGCCGGTGATCGTGGGTTCGGTTCCCACGCGTGAAAAGTACTCGTGTGAGCCACAGACGATTGTTCCGTGTCTGGGTGTTTGTCCCATAGGAGGCTTCTCGCAAGGCATGTTGTGAGTGGTAACTCACTTAACCAATACCACTAACAGAATGATTCGCAGGATAAAGAAGCCTAATATTATGTAGCAGGATTTTAACTATGCTCTCTTAAGAATTAAATTTATCTATGTAGCTGCTCGAGTCTTTTCAAAATAAACTAGTTTATTGTAATCAAATGCGAAGCTTTTGTCTATCAACGTTTCATTTATTTTTCTTTGGAACTTATCTAATGCTTTTTGCTTAATGCGTTAGACAAAACTTATCTTTTCTAATGATTTTTTTTGTAAAATAACAATGTTTTGCAACATTGTTTTTGAAACAAACGAGGTCTTACTTTAATATCCCTGAGGGGGTAAGCTGAGTTAGCTGGTCCCTGATTGGACACAAAAGAGACACTAAGATGTTTACTCTAAATAAATGTTAAATATAGAAAACTCCACCGAGTTTACAACCTGAGCTCTAGAGTTCGCAAATACAGCGTCTAGTCACAACGCCAGCACTAACTAAAGTGTTGTTTAAATCGATAATCATATTCTCCTTTCAATGTCTTTTAGCTCTAGCAACGTTCATTGTGGTTGAGAATAGATTCGTGCCGACCATATGCCGTTTTACATTCTATTTTCTAATTCAATATTCCGCTTGGCGATATTGAACGTATGTAAAATTAACATAACCGCAGTGTAAGGAAGAATTCATACCGCTAACACAAATCGAATTGGATGAAAATTTTGTACGGATCATTTCTAAAACTTGTCACGTCTTTTGGTTAGGGAAATTTTTAACAATGTCGCTTATTTACATCCATACTAATATTATACATGCGAAAGTAACTCTGTCGGTCCGTCTCGCTTTTTCACAGTCTGAGGCACTAACGTAACAATCGCGCTATCCGAGCCTAATATGCTCTCATCGTCTTGACGATGTGTGTTTACTTAGGTCAAAGTAGAAATCCTGGTGGATCTTGATTTTAACGAAAGAAGCGGTGACTATTCGAGCGGCTTTCGTTAGCGGAGCCCGAGGGGATGCGTAGCGTAGCGGTCTTCAAGCAATGTGCGTTATTCTCGGTTCTTTTTAAGCTGAACTCGTCTGACAAGACGTCCGATATATACACACCGGCACAATTAGCGGAACACAAAAAAAAGGAGGATTTTAAAATCTTTTACTAGGAACTAGCCAGTTATGATATTTTTTAAATTTATTGTCAGATTTGAAAATAGAAAATTAGATGACATACACTTTTTTCATTCATTTGTTTTATTTTCCCGAACAATACGTTTTGTCAACTTGTTCGAGTAATAACTACGTAATTGTAATTTTTTTTGAAAAATTTAACTTAATGGTTTTTTATAAAT